TGCTGACGGTTGAAGAAATAGTTAGCCAAGACTTCATTTGTAGAAGGGATGAACGTCACCTGAAAAGAGGGTATTTAGCAATATCCGTTTATCAATTGTGTTCTAAATTAGTCCAGTAATTGTTTCATTTGTTATCTCTTCAGTTTCTACGCTTATGTTTCTCATCCCCAATTATTCAAAATTATGTCTTGCCTCTTAAATGAATCCGATACCCATCCACATGAATTGTCGTGATGATTATATTCTTTTTTATTTTTAATTCCATGTAATTGCTTACATCATGTCAATATTATACTTTCGTGGACCTAGAGCCTTCCTTTTACCTGTATTTTCCGACAGAAGTGGATCGATAGACCATGGCAAATTCCATATCAAGCTCTTCTTTGTGCCGACAGCCCGGATAGACGGCGAGAGAGAGGACACAGTTAACCGGGTAACGTGATAATACTCACACTCTCGCCGCATACAATCTTTGTATCCTTTTCACTGCTTTCTAGTACCCATTTTAAGTGTAATGAAATGTATAATACAAATGAAAATGTACTATTTTGTGGACGAGTTTATTTCAAATAACACAGATTTCCCTACTGTTTGTGGAGACTTCGTTTGCATGTAGTTAATGCCGCTGCCCTTGCCACTCATTCCTGTATATCCTTGGGCACAAACTAATTGGACCCAGCCCAATTTTCGAAAATTGGTTAGATAATTGTATAATCAATAACTACGAGGGCTGAGCAAAACGGTTCGAGATGCACAATTAGTTTTACTTGTTACACAGAAATAAGCATCACATTTGCTCCAATTGATCTCCATCCGCGTTCATCCACTAAATTTCATGCGCTCAAACCATTTGGTGAAACGGCTGGACCATACAGAAGCGGGTAACCCGTCAATCAGTGCAATCAAGAACCCCACTGACTCGAATCGGAGTTCACGCAATACACAATTGACATTTAGGAACACTTAGGCTCGTCATCAACAAAGACAGCAGCTGCTGCTGCTGCTCGTCAGTAAGGCTTGTGAGTTGTGCTCAGTTGTGTTTATATTTGGTTCTGTTTCAGTTACAATCACTGTACAATATTCACAATAAGAGATTAAAATTCACGTTTTTCCTGCCCGGTCGTATATCTGCACCTCGTACTTGTCGTGTACACTGCGTACGCTGGAAACATTTTTCTCAACCCTGGTAAATAGGAATCCAGTACAAATTTGAATGGAGAATCCAAAACTATAAAATTTACACAATGTAGCCTGGATCCGTTTACTATAGATTGACACGTGCATACTGCAGTTTGAGTGATTGCAAAACTTAGAATCTTGGGGGTGAGAAAGAGTGAAATCACTGTCATTTATACGTTTGTAACTAATTCAAAATCAAAGTGCTCATAAATTCACACTGCTCATAGAGTTGGGAACTGTCATTGTCATTGGCCAATGACTTGGCGTATTTGAGAGACCTAGTGTTATGAGACACGGTTAGTATTCGGATTTCGTTGTTCAGTGGGAGGCATTGCTTTATCTGGTGAACGAAATGAGCTTCTTGTGTGTAACCGGCCACCTCATTCTTTCCACATATTTCCCACTCGTTGTGTTCTGCAGCCTGGATGTGTTCGGTTACTTGAAAACCATGTGATTTTACGGTCTTATCGACGCAATTGGTCCAGCAGCCGCGCATGAATTGATGCAAAAGGGAGACAATAGTTTGTCCTTCAAGGATGTTCGTAACCAGAAGTTTATAAAAGTAACAACAGATTCAGCTGCATAGTAAATGCAACTGAATACCGACTTTGAACGCTTGATACTCAGCTAATTGATATCTTCACCTTTGATTTGCGGTTCCAGGATCTTTATCATCTTATTTACACTTGGTATCTTTTGTAATTGAACTTTAAAATTCAAACCGGAAAAGAAATATCGAACCACTTTCGAGAAGCAAATAAAGCCGAGATTAACGTATTCCAAAGATGTGTTAATCCAGCATACCAGTGATGTATGCTTAATCATAATTCGTTGTGTGACCATTCTCGCACATCGTATGGTCTGGCTTGTCTTGGACTGTTCAGCCCTCCCTTGCCGTCCCGTCCGTGCACCAATCTGTTCGCTGACTGACTTTTTTTGCCGTCTGACCTCGTTCTCCATCGTGTGCTGCGGAACGAACTTAAAGATGTCATTGTTATCGATCCCTAACGATGAAATTTCACTATCCGAATAAATCTCATCACTGCTTCATCATCAATGTGTCGTGAACATTAATGCTTACCTTTTCGCACCACATCTCTTCCCATCAAACTTTAACCAAAACCCGTCATGTATCAGCTTTAACCCGCAATACTTTAGCCAAAACCTGTGATCCTTTAGCCACAATCCGTAGTCATTTTACCTTGACGCACAAACTTCAGTCATACTTCTGTAGACGAATAACATCAAAATGTGTCGAAATATGTACTCTGAAGTCGGCGAATGTTAAAACAAGAAATTGTTTGTTGCAAATGTTAAAATTCCAATGGTTCATTAGGAAATGAGAATGTGTGGCGATTGCACGCTGTATCACATGTAGACGACGTGATCATATCGTCATATCACTAGACACATCTTGCACAACTTCAGTGAGTCCGTATAACATGGAATACTCCACGAATGAGTAAAAATCTCCAATGTAACAAAAACGGTACACTGTTTCACATTCACATGTCACGAAAAAAAATCACGAAGTGATGCCATAAAAAAAAGTAGTTGCTTATCGTTCCATATATCCACTTAAAGTGAATTGGGACCAGGCGAGGTGGATACATGCTGGGGATAATAAACAAAGGACACCGCTTTCGGGTTACCTTTTCTCATCAAGCTTTAAACAAAACAATTAATTCGTGAGCCTCGAACTTGGTAATTATGTCAACTATTGCAGCGTTAATAAACTGATGATTATTAGGGCAGGGATCACTTTTTATGAACGGTGTTCATTATCCACGGCCTAGTAATGTATCGCAGAACGGAGTTCACTTTAAGTGAAGATGCGAAACGGTAAGCATTTAATCTTTTTCGTGGTATCACTTTTTGATCTAGTTCAGGGTTTGTGAATGCGAAACCATGCGAAACCGTTTATGTTACATTTGATCTGATTCGCCTACAGCGGTACGAGTAAAGCATTGTGCATCAAGGCTAAATGACTACGGGTTTTGGCTTAAGCTTGCTGGGAAAACGTGTGTAGATTGTACTACAGGTTGACGCAAGGTGTTCAGCTGGAACGTGATTTTATATCCTAATACACATAGGTCACCGAATGATTGTTATTTATTTTCAAAATTCGTATGTGAACCACTGAACGACGATCTGCTACTTGCTTTTTAACTGTCAAAGTTTTCTGATATTGCATAACTCATAAGTATTCATCCAGAGTGTTAAATCCAGGAAATCTAAGACAAATACAAGCTAGAGTGCTTCGAAATTGAGGATCCCAAAATAACTAATCTGAGTGAGAGTCTTAACGGCTAAACGCGATCCTTAAACAAACACAGAAAGTGAAAGAAACAGCTGATTGGTTAGATGGAAGACAGTGCGTAGTGAGAAAAGAGATAAAAGTTTTTGAGAAGCTGAAAATAATAACATGCCTTGACTTGAATAAAGCACCAACACTGTTATTATGTATTACCTTATTAGGCATCGAACCCTACGGTGCGAGAGACTATATCAGCGCGGTGGTTGCAGGATCTACTACTACTACTATTACTACTACTGCCACTACTACTACTACTACTACTACTACCACTACTACTACTACTGCTACTGCTGCTACTACTACTACTGCTGCCACTACTACTACTACTACTACTACTACTACTACTACTACTACTACTACTACTACTACTACTGCGAGACCGGAGAGCCGTTAGCATACAAACCACCGGCTATTCATTCCAAACTCTCGCGTGCTTGAGCCAGTCAGTAAGTGATGCCGGTTCGAACTCACTCGTGCACATTACATCCAAACACACACACACACTACTAAACCCGGCACTATCCCACTGTATAATGCCCCTCCCAACACAGGGAATTTGACAGAAATGAACGGTTGAACGGCTGTGGTTGTGGTTGTCTATGGGGATTGGGCACGCGGAAAACGGAAACTATCGTGCAAACTCCTCCTGATTGATTCCTGCGATTGGCCTTAATTGTGGACAGTTTTCTACTCATAGAGAGATAGGTCCAGGGAAATGATAAGCGGAGATGGAAATGGCGAAGGGT